GGTTAAATTCTTAAAACAATTGAAAAACTGTGGAAAACTGGCCAATCAGGAATTGTTTCCCTCTATGGCAGATATAGCTAAACAAGCTCTCCTATTGGTTAGAACTTCAAGAGCTGAAGAGAAACCCGAACGCTACATTAACCATCAGCATAATTCCGAACTGACAGAGGAATCAACCAATCATGTTTTGATTTTAAACAGGTGTGACTAATTTTGTGAGAGAAAGCTTCATCTGAGACAGCACCACAAAAAAGTCCTAGATATGCCAGTGATTGGCTTCCCTGTGTTGTGCTTTATTCAAAAAGCTATGCATACAATCACAACAGAGCTGATTTATTTTATATCAGTTTTAAAGGTACAGTAACAAAAACAGCTTATTTCATTCTTAGGGATAACAAGAGGTTGGAAAATGATAATAGTTATAGTTATGACATTTATGGCCCAAACTGAAGCCCTACCTTTAATAGCCATGGTTTGCCAGTGTGGTACAGATATGAAAAAACAGGTGATAAACAATTAATCACATGTAACAAGGTACATAATTCATGAATTGAGCTTATATTCTTTTAATGAAGTACACTCAACAGTTAAGACTAGTGTACTCGATGAAAAAAAAACTGTTGTTTAAAAGATAATAACACACAAGTTTTGAAAAGTTCTTTGAAGGCTTTTAATTGTCATAGATCTACAGAGTAATTACATTGTCACTGAGGAAACATTATAGTCTCACCTAAAAATACAACATGATTTCTTTCATTGCAACTTTCAAAGCAAAGCAAAACTGAATGACCTCACAAGTCTGGGCATACATAGTTTTAAGAGGAAAATCCCTGAACATATTAGCACAAGTGTTTGCACAAATTTCAAGCCATATGCGTGCTAGTAAATCATTGCTAAACAACCTGTGTAAACACAGAAAATGGCCCTCAGTAAGAAAATTACACTCCGTTCCCTTCAGGTTTGTTTGTAATAGCTTGCTTTAGTCCAAATTTATTACAGACCTGCTGTTCACCTCCAGGCCCTGGGGTGTTCGTATTTCTACCTCTTAGTTGAACCACATGGTAGTAATTAATTTAGATAATGAATTTTTAATGCTAATTTTCCAACCTCACTTTCTCAAGCCTTAAGCAGCGCTGGCACACAGCAAGAGTTCTCAGCTTCAGAATCTCAACACAGGCAGGCTGATGGAGTTAGAGTCATGAGGTCAAGGTCAGGAGTCACTGAATCCACACACTGCATTGTTTTGCTACAAAACCACTGAAGTATGACAATATTTGCTCCAATTCTCTTCCAAGGTTCACCAAAGACAGTGACCTGTGCTCAAATAAACTGAAGGAGGAAGAAATGCATTTGTTTGAAGGTTTGGCATGGCTCAGTAGGAAGCTGCATGCTGGACTTTCTAAAAGAGTCATTGCTGAAGGCGTAAACACTGATGAGTGATTCAGTTAATGTCCACTGAACAAAATGAAGATCATCTCCTCTCACCCTCAGAAGGTGAGTCTTCAGTAAGAATGTTTCAGTGCGCTAAATATTTGTGTGTATCTACTGCCCCCAAGTGCTTTAGCCATCCAACAGCAGCATAAGGCACCAGGAACTGATGTATGTATGGTGTCTGTGAATATGGGTGGAGTGCATTTTTTATAATTGTTGTAAGTGGAGCTGGAATTAGTCAGTGTGAAAATGATCTGAGAAATCAGAAGAGCTGCTGAAATATGTTTGATAAGGTGAAGAAGCACTATAATTTTCTTCTTCAACTACAAGTATTGATAATTAGGTCAGGACGGTTTAACTTTTTGAGCATAAGGTTGAAATATTTGAAATATTTAAAATTTTCCCTGGCATTAGGGTAAATGTGAATCAGAAATCATAACATATTTTCATTCAATTCATTTTCAAACATGGTATAAGGGAGAGTCTCCCAGATTGCACCCCACCCCCACTTTATGTTAAAAAAAGTCTGGATCTCTGAGCTAGCTGAGTGATGATGGATATGGGCGAGGTGAAACACCTTCTTTTTCCCCACCCAGTGGTGTACATAACCAAACTCAGATCATGTTTCAAAGTCGGGCAAAAGTTACATTACATTATAATGATTATACAGTTATTACATTTTGATATGATGATTGATTCTGGGCTCCCAAGTGGAGCAACCATCAAGTTCTCACCAGGAGACTGTGAGTCTGATCCCCGATGACGCCACAGCTTTCAGTCTCCAAGAGGGTATATCTGGTCTATCTAGGTAGGATGGTCTACCTTTCCCCCAAATTATGCAGTGTGATGGTAGCCAGTGTCAGTGTCTGCTAGCTAATGTTCAAGAATGGCAGTTAGCATTCTTCTTCAAGCGTGTTGAGCTGTCAAATGATGTTGCACAGCAGTTCAAAAAGGCACTGTGGTGTTTCACATGTCTCAGATGAAGCATGTAGTAGCCTTCACCCTCTCAGCTTGGCAGCATTTTAATAATATGCAATTAGAACATATGAACATAAAATAAATATAGAAAAATTGATACATATCATAAAATAGCAATAACGTCTGGACGTAAATAATGTAGTCTAATCTTGTATGATCTGTGATTGTCCTTGTGAAATCTTCCGGTTCACCCTGAGCTGCCTTTTTCACTCATCTGTTGCTGAACAACTTATCAGCCCCCTCTATCACGTCCACCGATGTGGGTGGTGGACCATTCTCATACCAGTGCTACAACCGCTACCGGACCGCTACCCTGTTGGTGTTACTGCTATGCTGAGAATAAACCCACTCAAATAACACCTGCTCTTAGATAGATGGATAAGTTAAGGCCATAGCCTACATTTCTCTTAAACTGTTGATCCAATGTGAATACTATAGCATGTTCTGGGCAAATACCCAATCTTAACACTAAGACAAAAAAAGCAAAGGTTTGGGCGAATTAGATGTCTTGTTCGTTTTCTCAGTGAAAATAAGTTAATACATCCTCTATATAGAGCAAACTTCTGCATATTTTAATGCACAGTTACTGTTTATGTCCTGAATTTAACATATTGGAAAAAAATATAACATAAAATGTGGCCTGTGCAAAAGTTACTGTGGCACATTTTACATTTTATGTTTTATTTTCAAACTTGTTTGTGTTCTCTGTAGTGGATGTGTTTTCAACAAAATCAACAAAACATGTATTTTGACCAGTGGTGCCCAAACTTTTTTGGAAATTCCACAACTGGGGTGCTATTTCTAACTCTTACAAATGAAACTTTGTTTATGTGTTAATCCAGCTCAGGAACAATAGCTCAATTTTTTAGGTTTCTTTGCTGACCCGTAGCTTAAATGATTACAGCACTGAAAGTAATTAGCAGCACAGAATTAGCATACAAAATGTGGTTAAATTATATAGCAGGTAATGGCATAATCACATTAACGGCATCCTAATGATTAACATTTTATTCTAATAATTTATTGTTTTAATTAATAATTTACTTTCAAGCTTTAATATGGGTTTGTACTTTCATCATCCCAACATACCACAATACCACTGAAAATAAAGAAAAAAGGATGAGATTTTTGTTATTCCCATGATCTTCACTTGGATGATCAGCTTCTTGCTGACCATGTGACTTGTGAATTTTCCAGATATTTCATAGGTGTGAATGTGTTCAGGTAACAGGGTTGAGTGAATGTTGTGAGCTTGGATGACGCTTGGATGAGCTTGGATGACTCTTGAAAAAAGGTGTTTCAAGCATAAGAAGTTACATGGATTCATACATTAATGCAAAAACATGTTTTTTGAAGGACTTATATTTCAAGATAAAGTAGTTACAGTGAGCTGGGGCAGACAAAAGGCTAAGTTCTAAGTGCTGTAGATATGTTTTATTAATGATATGATTCGTTATTTATCTCAAACATGCACATAGGTTGTTGTTAAGGACACTTAGGTTTAAAATGTATTTTATCTTTACATACAGTTGTAACTTTAATATCACTGGGGCACAAATGGCATCCTATTCACACAATGTTAAAGCATGTTCTTTAAAAAAAAAAGTTCTGACAATTATAAAACCAACACCCACATTCCAGTCCAACTATTCAGTTTTGAGGCTCTCATTTTTTTTTCAACTTGCACACCTGATACATGAACGAATGCACTTTAATGTGCTTTAACTGCATTTCATTATTTTTATGATTTCATTTTCTTTTCAAAGGCCTTTTAGACCAGCTTCTATGGAAGCCTTTTTACAGCCATTTAGTAAGTCATAATTATTAGAATGTCTTCTGTAATTATGACTTAATATCTCATAATTATGACACAGCATATCATAATTATGATTTGTTATCTCATAATAATGAGATTCCTGACTTGGTATCTCATAACAATGACCCAGTGTCTCATAATGATGAGATAATTTTCTCATAATTTTGAGATTCTAAGTTATAATTATGATATGGTAAGTCATTATTATGAGATACTAAACCATCATTATGAGAAGATAACCCTGCTGAAAAAAAGGACAATTAGAAACCATTAGGATTAAAACCTAATGGTTTTGCTTTCTAATGGGAATTGACCACTAGTTTCCTGTAGAACACTTTTGGATTCCATTAGGAAACCATGCAATGCATTTAGAATCAGCCATTGATCACCTGTTAAACCATTAGAATCCTTTACATAGTGATGTCAACCCATTAAAAAGGCCAAAACATATTACAAAACCAACAGAAACACTTCATGGTTTATATGGTTTATATATATCCATGGCAAAGTATGCTGACTTGGGGACTCATTTAAAAACACGTTGTACCAGAGACGTTATTGATTATAATCAACAAAACAGACACCAATATACCACCGTGTCTACACAGACAGGCAGTGTGACTGAACTGGTGCGCAGGACTACTTTACGATTCTGATATTCTGCTATTTTCCACAAAAATGAAACACTATCAGTGCTTATGACAATAAACTACAATTGACTGTAATACAGCACTGAGTCACGGGGCAGCATAAAGCGCGCTGATTGGCTCTTAGAATCACGCGTGGAGTGAAAGGTCGTGAAGTTTGCGAGGAAAATGGCTGCTGAACCAACACGAGAATGGAGCGATGAGAAACTGAAAAATGACGATGTGCCCAAAAAAGATCTTATCAAGTTTATCCAGGATAACGCTTCCCACTCGGTATGCAGACTTCATACCCCAGCCGAGGAATTCTTTGTCTTTTTAGCTGCTGTGCCGCTGAGGCGTGAGAGCAGGCAAAGGTTAGCCTGGTGTCCACAGCTGCATGATAGCCTACGTGCTGTAACAGATGATCACATGCAGGAGAGTCCTCTGAATGGATTCTCCTGCCTTAAAAAAAAAAGAATAGAACTGGCTGTAGATAAAAATAGAACTGGCTGTAGCCCCAGCAGTCTAGTGTATGTACATGTTACTAAACGTTGCCAAATGAAAATGTTTATAATGTCTCTCCAGTAGAGAGCAGTGTGAACGAAGCTAAACTTAGCATCTTAGTAATATTCCGTTCCTCCTTAAATGGTACGGCAGCTCCACTCTGGCGCCTGTACAGAAGGTTCAACTGCTGGACCACTTAAGGTGGAACCGAAAAATTCGAAAAAGATGGGAACTTAAGTGTGAGTGGGCAGATTTTCGTGCAATATTTTTGTATATTTTTTCAGTTTCTTGCCGAGCACAAACTTCTGGGTAATATCAAGAATGTCGCAAAGACCGCAAAAAAGGAGCAGCTCATTGTAGCCTACAATCAGCTCTTCGAGAGCAAGGTAAGCATTAGACAGTGATTCACTGTGAAATGACTAGATCTTATTTGATTAAGTTTAATTTCAAGATTTGTCCTCCAAACTGAATGGCTTCTCTGAGCATGACCAAGCTAACTGTTTCTGCCATCGACAGAGATTTAAAGGCACAGAAGTGGAGGAGGTGACTCAGGATGTGAAAGCTGTCAAAATTGAAGACAAGAACAAAGAAACAAAGACAGAAGTTGCAGAAGTTGTGGATGAGGTATCTAACTGGGGCATGAAACAATCTGACATGGATAAAATAGATTTACAGTGTGCTGTTTGCTGTTACAATTGATTTATTCTAATTTAAGCATGCTGCATAGCTTTAGAGGTTGTTTAATGTTTATTTCATATATTTATTAATTGATTTATTTTTACTGAACAGGGACCCCCCAAGTTCACAAAGACAGTGATAAAGAAAGGAGATAAGACCAACTTCCCCAAAAAGGGTGATACAGTGGCATGTTGGTATACTGGCACACTTGAGGATGGCACTGTCTTTGACACCAACATCCCTACTGGTATGTGTTCTACTGCCCTCCCAAATGCGTTATATATATACAGTCATATGCAAAAGTTCAAATACTTCTTGTAAAATTGTTTTATTGATATTTTTGGTGCACAACCTCTACAGAGAACAAACTTAAGTATGGCATTTTCTACAAATTTTAGTACACAGTTTCTATTGATTTTGATGAGTTAAAAAAAAAGTGTGTGTATGTATGTATGTGTGTGTATGTGTGTATATATATATATATATATATATATATATATTACACACACACACACACACACACACTATATTACTGTATGCCTTTACAAGATTTATGTTGGACCTAAAAATGTTTTAGTATAATACCATGCAAAGGAGAACAAAATTATCTCCGTCATGTTTTACACCAACTGTCCTTACATTGCATGAAATATTTGTGAAGAATCAATAGAAACAGTCTAAAATTACTTGGAAATGCTGAACACTTTTACCCTCTTTTAAAAAGTTACCGTTTCATAGATTTTGTCACAACAGTGATTTAGATCAATCACGCAAAGATAATTGCCCTGATTGGGCATTTGGTGGACAAATGGTAATTTCCACTATCATCTTTGCAGGTGCACGGAAAAAGAAACAGGCCAAACCACTTTCTTTTAAGGTTGGGATGGGCAAAGTTATCAGAGGGGTGAGGTGTTCTGTTCATCGTTTAAAATATTTTTATTATTATTATTATTAATAAAAATATGCAGAATTTCAGCCCCAGCTTTTTAATATTTATTTTCATACATATTTACAGTGGGATGAGGGTCTCCTGACCATGAGTAAAGGCGAGACTGCACGGCTGGAAATTGAATCAGAGTGGGCTTACGGTAAAAAGGGTCTTCCTGATTCTAAGTATCCTTTTCTAGTGTTTTCACTGTATGGCTGTTGATGTTGATCTTAGACAGGTTGATTAACTGCAGTTTCAGTACTGACTAAAATGTCGAGTAATTTCTTTCATTAAAAATATAAGGGCAATATTTGAGGATTACAGCATAAGCCAAGTTTTATACTGTATTTTATATACACAACTTGATCATTTCTGCATGCCTTCAGTTTGTGCATATGAATGTTTAATTTTTAATTAAGTTAATATTTCAACATTGTGCCTTTTTTCTTAACTGCTTTTTACCAGAATTCCACCAAATGCTAAACTTATTTTTGAGGTTGAATTGGTATCCATTGATTAATACATGGATAAACTAGCATGCACGTACTGGCCAAGAACTGTACATGTTAAGCTGCCCCATGTTCTCCGTTTCAACAGAGAAAGACTAACCATTAGTACAGGAGTTATTTGTGAGGTCATGTTTGTGTTGGCCTTCATGTTAAAACGTACTACTGTGGAAAGCAGCAAAAAATTCCTCTTCATATTACTGAGGAGTGCCTCCCTTTTGGTGTCCTGACATTATTTTGCATGTTCTGAAACGTTACAATAAAAGAAATTGAACTAAATAGTTTCCTTAAACCACACCTCCCCTCCAATTATTACAAACCATGCCAATCCAAAGACAAGTGAATATAAAATTGGTGTGAGGAACCACTGAAAACCTTCATTTAGCTAAAAGATGAGGCATAGTGTTTATGTTCAAGCTGCAACTTTATTATGAACAAGTTTCTCCATAAGACTTTAGGAGTTGGCATTGGGACCCTTCTTCTTTCCGAAGGTGGGCACCACATTCACAAAGCGACGGTTGTACTGGATGCGGCGCTTAGCACGGCCCGTCTTCTTTTTCTTCTTCTCCTGTTTGTCCACCTAAAAACAGGAGTTGATATTGTTTTCAAAACACTTTTATAAAGCCATGTCTGTCAAACTTAAATAGAATCCAAACAAAAAGGCATTTCACATGAAAATTACTACTTATTCTATGACTCATGCAGCATATGTCCTGCATGCCAGCTCCATTAGTTTTGTTTGGTAGGGGATCTGGCAAAGCAACGCATGTATGCAAACTTCTACAACCCTCTTGCCAGAATAAAAAGGTAACTTGAGACCATAAAAGTGCTACCTGTCTATTTAAAAAATAAAAATAAAAAAAAAGACAGCATGAAAATATGTGCCCATGGCTTTTACACTCACCTTGGGTGTCTGTCCTCGTACCTTACCAGCACGAGCAAGGGAACCGTGTACCTTACCTAGGAGGAGAACAAACGAAAGCAAAGCTCATTCCAGCGACATTCTTGCAAAAAAATAAGTGATAATTGAAATAATGCATTACTACAATAATTCAAGTGACCTCACAGTAAGGAAGCTTGGGTATAAATGAATAATATTCCTATCTATTCCAGAATACAGCTGGTTAGTCCAAATGGAGCAAATATTTCTCTTTTAATTTAAAAACGCTATGAACAAAGACAGCGAAACAAGACAAGAAAGTTAAGACAGGCTCCCTTTAGCCAAAGAACATGCTTTATAATGAGTGTTAAAATAATTTGATAATGTGTGTAACTTGCCTCCCAGAAGTCTGCCAACCACCTCAAGGGTGCAGTGCTCTGAAATGCCACAGTTCACAAGGACAGCATCATTTTCGAGTGGGGTACCAGCCAGCACAAGCACCTGGTCCTCCACAGACAGACCCTCCAAGGTCTGGACATGGGCCTATAAAACAGAACAGCTTCAGTCAGTTTTCTGCATATAAACATGATAATACTAACAAAAGTACCTAAGTTAATGTAGTCTGGACTACCATCAAAAACTAAATTCATCACCTTTAAGTCCTGGACAGTCTCCTGTCCGGTCACCTCAAGGGTGTGTAGGTTCTGTGCACGGAGGAAGAGCTGCATGTTGATCTCTTGGGAGGGAAAAAAAAGTGATTATTTTCCAGCCACTGCAAGAATTTTCTAAAGGTGCTTCCTTGTAATTTACACACAAGTGTTTCATTTTTCAACTGTTTTCTGAATTGACACACTGTGTGCAAAAGTTTGTAGACACCTGCTCATCACCCATTTTTCCCCACAATCAAGAGTATTAATCGGGGATTTCTTCTGGGAAGCCTTTACACTAGAACAATGCTTCCCAACCTGCAACACCCACTGCCCTGCACACAGGAACACAAGTCTGTTCCCACTAATCAGCTCATTACCAAGCCCTTCCTGATGTGAAATGATGTTTTGCAGCAGGACAAAACAAATGTGCAGGGCAATGGGTGCTCCAGGACCAAAGTTAGGAGTCTGTGCAGTGGATGCTGGAACACTGCTGTGAGGATTTGATTGCATTCAGTCACAAGAACATTACCATGGTCAGTCACTGATGTTAAATGATTAGTTCTGGATCACAAACAGCACTCCAGCTCATCACAAACGTACTGAATGGAGTTTCACTGCTCCATAGGCCAGCAGGCCAGCGTTGAGGGGGCTTTACACTCCTCGAGCCAATCTGTGGCTTTTAGGGAGCGTCATATTCTTTTGGCAATGCTTTTCTATGGAGATTATTTAAGATGGGTATGCACAACCCAATGGGTGCACCTTAGATGAGCTCAATAACGATGATCAGAATGTTGTCTGGACACTTTTGGACCAGCAGTATGCTTTGCTTAGTCTAGAAACGAGTGCTTTCTAACTCCATACCAGCGTTAAGAAACCTGTAACGGCAAGTCAGCTCGCTGAAAGTCACTACTAACCGATGCTAAGTAATAAACATTAAGGTGTCAAAGTTGTCTCCATTTATGCTGCTGCTATCTTACTCTAACTTCATATTCCATAAATACATCTAACAGCTAACGTTAACTGGCTAACGTTGGGTGAAAGAAAATATCTCTAAGTTACGTGACCTCTCCTAACAGATGCTCCATTTTGCATCAAGTAAACGGCGTGTCTCTGTGAAATAAACACAACTCAGATCTATTTACTGCTTATAAACGTTCTCGTATCCCCCGTTAGAAAACTGCACGCCGGCTGAAGTTAGAGAGAGCTTTAGCTTTAGCTGCTCCTCGCTAACAGCGTTTAGCTAGCTAGCAGCACTCGCCGGAGACACGCGGTCAAAAGAGAAGCCAAACGTTCTCAATATACAGCACATAAGCCGGAAAACTGGCCAAACACATATTCTAAAGTTTAACACTGAATCACAGTCTTATTCTGGTGCCACAGTGAAAGAATAAAGCTGATAAATGAGTAAAGTAAGAGACGGGCCTTACGCCGCACGGTGCTCGTCGTTCCACAGTGAGCGAGAAAAGGACCTGCGCAGAGCGCGATCTGCGCATGTTCGAGGAAAAGAATGCCGGGAAGCGGATACGTCACGTGTAGACAACACCCACCAGTGCGACCGAGCTGAATATAATATAGATGAAAAGTGTTATTATGGAACCATATATATATAGAGAGAGAGATATAGATATATATGCGCATGTATGTGTGTGTGTACATATATGTATTTTTTCCCTTTTTTCGAAAATCAGAGAAATGTGCCCTTCCTATATGATTAATCTTGTACATAGTTCTTTGTTGCCTTTAAAAAATCAGTTATCAGTTATTTATTCAGCTCTCTTTAAAACACCTGTTAAATCATGTATTTTAGGAAGATGTCTCATCTCCAGTATATCTAATTAAATTTAAACTGCTGTATGTTTGTTTTTTCAGTATCAAAAGTATCCACACTCTCCTCTAGTTAGTGGCTTGAGCTACTTTAACACTGGATGAGCAGATGTGTATCAAATTATTATAGACATTTAATTGTATAATGCAGGAGTGCATCTCAGTACACAGAAAGGACATATGTTCTTTCCTTTTCAACCCAATACCAATATCAAAACTAATACTATTTTCTTGGGCAGAGGAATGATCACTGTTCTTCTTCAGTCATAAACTAGATGCTACAGTCAATACTGAAAAGCAATAAAATGGACCATGAGTTGATATTTTATTTTCACATAGCTCAAGCCCTTGTAAATCTGTTTACTAAAAAAAAGAAAATGCACAACTGCTTACAAATAAAATACACTTAAATACCAGCCAGAAAACAAGAGGGTATTATTAAAGATGTAAGACTGGTGTGTGGTGAAAACACAACAAAAACAAATGTCCATTTAGGTGTACACTTGAACAACTTATCATTTACAAAATCTACTGTGAATGTAGTTACAGATGGGTGCCCATCTAGCTTGTCAGCCACCCTCCACTCTATTCTACATGAATCAATTTCTGACCACTGGGCCACTGCTGGCATGGTAGTGCACTGCTAGGCTGAGAGGTCCACCACTCAAATACCCAGCAGTTCTGTGGTCACTGCTGAAAGCATGAGTGGCGACCAACAAATTATATACGCCAAGACTTGAGATGTATTTGGGACACAGCCAGAATGGATCTACACCTTCAGCACAAGTTCTGAATAAGCCACAACAACACAGTCAAGGATACCAATCTCTTTATTATGAAATTCAAAAGTCAAAATAAAAAGCCTTCATTTCACTTTTGGCTCTGAAAACAAGATGACATCACATTTAGGAGAGCAGAGATAAGGTTAAAGAATTAAAGATTTCAGGTTCTTCCATACAAATCTTTCAAACTACTAAATTTCCAAAAAGAGACCACACTATAAATCAAGCTAAAATTAAACTTGTTTGCACTTTTTCCACAGAAGGAAAACTCATTTGCAACACACATGCTCAAAAACAAAGTAAACTGTCAAACGACTGAGAATGTCAATGAGAATCAGTAAGAATGGATAAAAAGGACATCAGAGTTCCATCATACTTCAGGTCATCATGTGGGGGGTGGGGGGTAGTACTGGTTATACTGATACTGGCTGTACTGGCCCCAGGAGTTTTGAGTTCCCCATGAGTTGTATTGCTGTGAAAATGCAAAAATAAAGTGATTTTACAAAACAGCAACCAGATCATTTTAAACACTTACATTAAACTCTAGTGCTGGAAGGCCGGAGCGCAGCACAGTTTTCTACCATCTGATTTTATTTAATTATCAGGGTTATTATATCAGGGAGTAATAGAGCCCAACTGTGCTGGACACCAGCCGTGCAGGACCAGTGTTTGACGACCCCATTTTAAAGCATGTATTCAGAAAGCCTGAGAGTTAAATCAATATGCCTGCAGCATATTTCCTACTAGCATATTTACTCTGCAAATGTGGGGTAACAAAATTACAACTCATGCAAGATCATTAGTTGCAGACTGACACCTGAAAATTTAGAAGACAAAGAGACTTCAAAAACAAGTGCAGTCCATGCAGCAGCTATGTAAACACTGACCTGATACCAGTTGTTATAGTTGTATGCTCCATGGTTGGCCTGCATGTCTGGCACCATCTGGCCTGACGCTGCTGAGCCATCATCCATACGCTGTCTCTTTGAATCTGGTTCTTGAGACCTGCAGAGGTGTACGCATATAGTATTGTTTATCTTACCAAGTCAGAATTGTTCTCAGTGGTGGAGATGAGGAACCAAATATCTGAGGAGATGCCTCTAAAACAGGGGTTCCCAATCCCAGTCCTGGTGACCCTTTGCTCTGCATATTTTTGTGGTTTCTTTACATATCTGACCCAGTCAGTCACACTTTAGTTATTTCAGGTGTGCTGGATGAGACAAAGCACACGTGTGCATGGTGTTGGGTCCCCAGGACTGGGATTGAAAATACATTACACAAGTGAGTTTACTGGTCGTTTTGGAAAGTGAATAAAATGGTTACACTTGTGGACACTGCAACCCACATGGGTCCCATCACCACCATTTTCTCTATAATTCAACATTTCACATGAAACCGCTCTTGATGAACTTGAAGATTTTTGTGCAGAAATTTTTAAAAATCAATAGAACTCTCCTTTAAACCTGCAGACAACACCATTTACAGCCTCTGACTGTTAAATGGATTTTGTTTTTGCTAAGGCCATTTCCCTGGAAAACTGATGAGAAAGATTTCAGTGGTAACTCACCCATTCTCTGCTTTTCTCTTTGTTGATTCTTGTTCTTTCAGAAGTGCCTGATGATGATCATATGCAGTCACAAGCCTAAGCAGGGAACAGAAACAACACTTCACTTTTTCTACATGGTATCAGAAATAGCACCACCTGTACAGAGAGAAGCCAGAACGAGGCAGACTGACACGTTCCAGGTGGGTTTTCCACTAACCTGACAATAGAGCAAGACAATCTACAATCAAATAACCAAGTGAAACCAAGAAGCTGCAAAGTCATCAAGTCTGTTCTTTCTAAGCTTAGATGTCAAGTTGCAAAGACCTCAGCAGTAAACAAAACGTTTGTTCTTTTCAAGTCTAAAAACATCTGTAATTTGAATTTCAACAGTAAGCAAAACAGCTATTTAAGGCTGCTCAATTTGTCATGCATTTGCTAGCATCAGCCCACAGCTAAATGAGCTACATGGGATTTAATTTCATTACAGGTCCACATCCCTGCAGTGGAAAGCACAACCAGAAAGTTCAACTGACTGCTTCCCAGCTAGTCAAAGTTTAACTAAACACTAACAGGAAGAAATTATTAGAACTGACAAAAACTTAAATTCTTTACTCACGTGTTTATGTCACTGCCAAAGTCCTCAAGAAACTCCACTTTCCGTTGAGAAAAGTCACACGTGAATCCAAAGGCATTGGGCTGTTGAGAGCTCGATCAAAGCATGCCAGGATCTCTGTTTCATTCTGCTGCACATCCCCACTGTACTCTAGCTCTAGCAGGTTCAAGTACAGCTTAGGATTGGTCTAAAATACACATATACAGATGACTTAGTTAAGCTTACATACGCAATTTCAAGGACAAACTAAGCAGAGGAAGGTAGATGAGCCTAACAAATAGAAACTGGTTTAAAAGAAAAAAAATATATAAATAAATAAATAAATATAATCCAAAACCAAACACACCCCACACTTGAAATCTAAGCTTCAGGCCATTCAGCATGGGAACCAAAGACTATTCACTTCAAAAGTTGGAAGCGTGAACAGTCACAAAGCATTACAAACATATTACAAAATAATACAGTAAAAGTCAGAAAAGAAAATAGTAACATTTAATGACAAATGTAACTAAGATTTCTTTACCCACAAACAAGACAAGTGTTGAAAATACTCAGGGAAGTATAAACCTAACAAAATATTTAAACACAAGTCAGACTTCCTTTCAAAACAAACATGCATCCTTTTTACTTTTATTACCTCTTTAACACCACAAAGACAACATGCAAAACAGAGCTACCATGTCTCGAGTCAGGCTTAAAATAAATCTGTGGGGTGTTGAGGTGGAAATTCACACAACAGCCTTACCTCATCTTTTTCGATGGCCTCTAGCAGTACTTTTCTAGCCTTGCCAACGCTTCTGTGCACTTTGAGGAGCTGTCTAGCTAGTTTCACAGAGTAGAAAGATGATTCGGTTGCATTTTTTCCATTCTTCATGGCATCCCGCAGTAGTGCCTCAGCTTCATCCAAGTTCCCATGTCGACGCTCTAGGCTCACCCGACGTAGTCTCACCATGGCCAAGCCTGGAACTGCCTCCTCTAGACTTTTCAGGATTCCTCGTGCCTCCTCAATGTTCCCTGAAGAAACAAAATGAAACCATAGAAATTAAAGAAAGCCAGGAATGGGAGTTTGAAAAGCTACAGAAGTACGGCATGAAGTTCGCCTGAATACATCAGTTCAAATGGTGTGGTGAAAGAAATTTACCCTGTTGCTCCTCAAAAGCTGCCCACAGAAGATGGATTGTAGGTTTCTTGGGTAGGTGGATGGTGCATGCTTTCTTGTACACATGTCTCACTCCCTCTGTGCTGTAGCTCTCTAAGTACTTGGCATACTTCAGAAGTAAAGAAGGAAAAAGAGGGAGATACACAGAGAGGAAATAAAAGAAAACAGGGAAAAAACACACAGAAATTAAGCTTTCATTTCAGATTCCTGCACCAGTGAATTTCCATTGACAAGATCGTTTTGAGAATTTCTGTTTTAAACCCATCAGCACCTTTATGGAACCAATAAGATAAGTTTCTGTAAGGTAGTGGGAGACGGAGAGATGCAACGAAGTTGGCATATGCTGGACTCAAATCTTGTGTGGCAAGCTGGCCATCCCCTAATACAACAAATACAGTCAAATATCAACGTTACACGCAAAGAGTGCAGGAAGTTTTACTGAGGAAGTGAAATCGTTGATGGGGGAAGGAGGGAGGAAAGGTCTCTGCGAAGGGAGCTCTATTTACCTTTATCCAAAACTCCTCGTAAAGGGCACAGGCAATCAGGCAGCGCTCAAACAGAACCACTACGCGCTCTGGTGTCCCATTCTCCAGTTCAAAGTCCAGGTACTCCCTCCAGTTGCTGAGCTGTGTCTTCTCCAAGGCTTTTACGTGGAAATATGGACGCTTGATCTATGCGGTAGGGTGAATAAGAATTATTGAAGCTACAGAACACAATTTCTGAACTTACATTAAACATAAAAGTTCTGTTCCCATTTTCAGCTCCTCTTAAAGCAAAAGCTCCTTCACCTAAACCACATGCTATTCTTCAGGAAACAAAATGAACCATTAGTATGAAAGTAAACATAACACTTACCCCTTCCTCAAAGGCCCAACGCTTGCTGACTTCATGCTCATTGTGGTTGAAGATCTCTTGGCGTGCCTCAATCACCTTGTGCCGCATGTTCTCAATCTCTGTCACTCTCTAGAGGATAAAAGACATATTTATGAGAATTCACATTATAATTACACATTCAACTTATCTCGAGTGATGTGCAAACTGCATGTCCAGCTACCAAGGGTTTACATCACCATGAGCTCGAGAGAAACAAGTGGAATCTTGCGCTGGGATAAGTAAGGTATGCACCCTGCACATCAGCTGTGGCCCAAGCCGTGCTGCTGGGGGGAGAGGGGTTGAGGGACGTGTCATTCCGTCACGGTCCCGTCCCACTTTTATCGAGTCCCTGAATGGATGCCAACTGGAATCCTCAGGTATTCACTGGCTGCTAACGGAAAGACACCTCTTCAAACCTGTACAGTTTTGCTTCTCTCCAGCATCAGGTAGGACCCTCCCTGTCTCTGTCAAGTTTCATACCCACACAGACTGAGGGTTGGGCTCTTACCTTTGCAGGGTCAGGAAGGTCTTCGGTGCCTGGTGGAAGCTCCTCACTGGGGGTTTCTTCCTCTCCATCGCCAGTGGGCTTATTGGCAGCAGCAAGCTCCAACCTCAGCTGAACAAACTCCTCTTCAGACAGGAAGTGCTTGGGATTATTGTTTTGCACATGATCTTTGAACCTGAAAAGAATAGACAAAGTACTAGTCAATAACAAATGCACAAACATGAAATTACACACACATTTTGCGCTTCCCTTGGATGTCCATCAAAACAGTCAATTTATATACTATTTATAACACAAACCTCTGAAAGTGCTGGGAGTACAGCTGAGTAGGAATAGCCAGGATACGGTCATAGACAGCTGTAACATTGGCCAGCTTTTCTTGTTCAGTTTCCCAGTTAATATAAGCTTCCCACAGACGGTCTGACCGGAAGTCGGTACCCGCAGCAAGGACTGCATGCTCATAAGCACTGAAAGGGAACATACACAAAAATACAATCACCATGCAACCAGGTCCACTACATTTGGCCATTTATTTTCTGTACTGGGGAAAGGCACAAAATGGAAGAATTTACTTACGCTCGTATGCGGTTTTCAGCTTCTCCATCACTGGTGTCCTGGTTCTCCCTTAGAAAAGCTATATAATGAAGCCACAGGTCAACACTTAGTGGGATGGCCTGCAAACCTCTACGGTATACCTGAAAGGGAAAGAAAAATGCAGCAGCAAGTCTACATTTGTTTCCCATGGAGCTGCAAATGGCAAATAAAACTAAGCTGTATGTACAGGCAAAACATCCCTTACCTCATCCGCCATCTGTATGCAACCATGCTTCTTCTCAATATCTGCATATTTCTTCCAGTAACCATAACAGTATGGATAGCGTAGGAAAAAGGCATCAAATGCCTTTCTTGAAGCCAACAGGTGGTTCTAGAATAGACATACAAATGTTTTAACTTCCACATTTTTTACATGGCTCTTTGCTTGCTTGCTGTTTAATCTGTTCATTAGACTATGTGGCACTCACCTCTTGTTCCACATACTGCAGAAGATAGACCCATCCATTAAAATCTTCAGGGTTATCCTCAACTACTTTATAAAGCCTCTCAAATTCAGAAGGAAGGGAAGGCTTTTGCACAGACACATCACCTGATCCATCCTCACTTCCCTCTTTGGAGGCATCCTCAAGCTCCATATTGGCAGGACTTTCTGAATTGCCTGACTCAGCCTGCTTTTGCGAGCTCAGTTTTTTCAAATCAGGGCTATCTGCTGTCTGTTCAGTCGTTTCTAATTGACTTCCAACATCATGTGCAGAGTTTTCGGGCTGTTCTGTGGCACTGTCTTCAGAAATACCAGACTTCTGCTCCACTGATTTTGAATTCCCATCCACTGAGAACTGCTCAACTGCAGCAGCCTGTTGCACATGGTCTTGGTCTAAGTTCTGTTGGTTTGCAAGGTCAGCAAGTGTATCAGGTACTTGGTCCATTGTCCACTGAGCATCTTGGGTTAAATTAGGAAGGTAAGAAATGAAACCATCTCCTGCTCCTTCCATAGCAGTAGAGTCCCCATTGTCGGGGGTATTCGTATCAACCATTCCTGTCATTGGTTCGTCTGAGAGATCCAAGTCTTAAAAGAAAAGAAAAAGACAACTCAGACTTAAACTCATTTAATGACTCCAGATGAAAGCAGATCTTACTTAAAATATACAATTAAAGTGATTTTAGGACAGTGTTCTAGTCCTGGAGGGCTGGCGTCCAGCACAGGCCAGGGATTTCCCTGAACAAATAACTACACTAAACCTGGCAGTTAACAGAGGAGCTTAATTAGGTGTGGGCAAACTGGGTAGCTATCCGACCCTTCAAGAACGACTTTGAAGACTTCAACATCCCTGCTCGAGGAGACTGTGGTTTTGCAAGTCTGTCGAGCAATTAAGACACTATGCGTTGGCATGTGTTTTGTTTGTAAGGTTACCACGCAGGACGTATGGAGAATACTTACTAGAACATCAGTAACAAGTCACCTTACAAAGTAAAACAAAACAACTCAAAAGCGAAATACTTCACCAGCTACCTTATCGGTAACTACAGCTGTCGTGCTCGTTTGGGAATCTGACCTCATGCATGCTTTCCTAAAATAGTTCGCACAAGTAAACTTACATTACCTACGATTGATTAACCTACATAAACGTGCAGAAAATCCATAAGCAATTCATAACGCAGTTAGTGCTCTGCAAACCTTGATTAACAACTCTTAACAAAAACTACCAAACAACATCTTGCTAACTCACTAGGTAAGCTAGGTTAACGCCAGCTCTGTAGGTTCGCGTCAGCCATTGCTAGCCAGCTGAAAGGGTGCGCTCTTTTTTTAACTGCACGCTATGCTGGACAAAAAACAGTTCGCTTATAACTGCCAGTTCCAGAAGATTCATGGATGTACTAATCTCACTGAGAGACATTTTGTAAATAGTAAATAGCGAACTAACAAGCTACTTACTAACTATCGTTACACAACTTGTTAACCAAGCCAACTTAGCTAACTTGCTAACTAAACAGCTAACGCGTCGCTCAATAGCTAACAAACCGAGTATTAGCGCCGTGCTTTGACACATTTAAACGTCCCCTGTAGTAAATATACATGTTTGTTACGTGTGCTTCGTTAGTTTAAAAGCAGTTTAATTTGACTGGAACTAACAAGTAAATGAACAACCTTGGTTTCTTTCTGGGCCTACTCCGCTCTTACAAAGCTAGGCGCTAGCAGCACTAGCTAACACGTACTACCGTCAATACCGCCTGAGCAAAGACTGCAGAAAAGCAGCTTCTCTTGAAAAAAACATAAGGAACGTCTATGCTGGGTGCTTACTTACCAGAATGTTCCATGAAACGTTGCTTAGAAGAGGATTTATCTAAACTTGTTCGAAGTTATCTGTCCGACAACATGTGGTCGACAAACCGAGCTCTCATTCTACACACGGCGACGCTGAAGGGCAAGAATGTTCCACGCATGCGCACTGGACAGGCAGCCCCAGGTGTGAATGTGCTGGCGCTACTGGAGCATATTGGCCGTTTGGGTCCGGTTTAAAACCGCCCATACACCCATAACAGGGTGTTTTCCTAATTAATTATAATAGCATTATGCAAAGAGACAACATTTTCTAGTCTCTGAATGTAATGACTGGATCTATAGCAGCTTTACTAGGCGCCCATCTTTTCTATAAAGCCTAATTTTAAATGTAGTTAGCTTCCAATAGGCTACATGGACAATAATGTTTTGTTTCTACAGCTGCAAACTTCTAAAACTTCATCCCTTTAGATTTATCATACCATAAATTGTAAGCTTAAAAGGACTTCTATCATATGTTTGATGTAGAAAGTGAGCACTGTATCACTTAAAAAGCACGTTGTTTACTCCTCAGTCTCTACAGTCCATATCTAGATACTAAGATGCAAAAACAGCCCATTTCGAATTTATTCTTCCTGTGATGTAACGAAAATAAACTCATTTACATATATCTGCTTATTCAGTCTGCAGCAGTTTCATTGCACCCATTACACTGAGGGTATAAACAGTGTTTCAGCACATACTGCTTTTCAAATGAGGCACAATACAGGGCAGCCAATCAGAACCGAGCTCATTTTCATGTACCACCTTTCAAGGTACAGCAACAAAAAAGTATATTTTATTCTAAGGAACAAAGAGAGACTAGAAAATGAATTACGTAAAAAAACAAATTATGCCTGTTTTGGCACAGAAATGAATATGAGTAATGTAGAATATGGGCCTTTTAACTAAAAAATGTTCCTCTTTTATCATATCACCAGTTTAGGCCTACAAATTGTAACAAGTTTCATACATATTCAACTGCAGTTGCACTTTCAGCTCTTTGTTATGCAGGAGGCTTTAGGTGTTAGTTACAAAGTCACGGGGGGAGCTGGAGCCTATCCCAGCAGTCACTGGGCGGAAGGCTGGATACACCCTGGACAGGTCACCAGTCCATCACAGGGCAGCCAGACAGACATATACATACATACATACTCACACACACACCCCTAGGGGCAATTTAGCACATCCAATTGGCCTGACTGCATGTCTTTGGACTGTGGAAGGAAACTGTAGTACCTGGTGGAAACCCACGCAGACACAGAGAGAACATGCAAACTCCACACAGAAAGTCGCCCGGCCGGGAATCAAACCCAGGCCCTTCTTGCTGTGAGGCAACAGCGCTATACACTGCACCATTGCCCTATTTACAATTTGCAGTTCAGAAATGTAACAAACAAGGACACTGTGCTTTCTGAACTTTTGAAATGCAGGCCATCAGTTAGGTACAAACTGTAAAGCCAATTCAGGTGCAGAGCAGTTTTTGGATTTATGGATTTATATAACTCACTAATACATGTAGCGAAAGAAAAGGCAGAAAAATAAAAGTTAAAAATAAATTTAAAAATGAAGAAAAATTAGGGTTACATATAACATGGTATAGGAGTATTTGTAACACACCTCCTCTGAACCCAAACGAAACATAAATGTAAAATATGGCACACTAGTGAGCTGTCACTGCATACCTTACTGCCATTACCTATTGAAAGTAATCAAAATAGACTACATATTCTACATATTCGAGTTAATCATGCAGATTATAGCAGGCCTCACTGTTTACAGTTGAAATAAGGCAATCAATAACCTCACAAAATCTCAGAAACCTTCCCCAAACATACTTTTAATAGTACATTTTTACTAATCATAAAATTACTAATATTATTTATGTTATAAGGTTTTGGCTTATATAAGGCTTCCATTCTGACTTTCCATTCAGTGTGACCAGCAGTGAGATGACCAAGGGAAACGCAAATAAAATGCAAATATGACCAAAATGTTTACTGAACTTCTGTGAAAGCTGGGCGGCTGGACAGATCTGCTACTTCACTTTTTTTGGTAATCTAATTTGTAATTGCTCAGTGTCTTCTTTTTTACTGAAACGTCTTCTTTCACGTCCAAACGTTTGTATCGAACATTTCTTTTGAAATTATGGTGTACTAAAAGAACAGTTCTCTGAAAAAAATATACACAATTTACCCTTTTACCTTTACCCCATATGTAGCAGATCAGTCAAGGCATGTTTGCTGTCCAAAGTGTGCTTCTTTAGTTTTGCACTGGAGCTATATGTAACAGCTATGTCACCAAAGCTTTTTTTGGGTGAACTTCTATTTCATCGTTTTCAATGAAAACAAATGTTGTACACTAAACATGTTTTGGTTGTTCTTTTATGTTTGGGGTGGTGTGTGTGTTGGGGGGGGGGTTGGATTGTGTAAACTGGTAAACTGGTATATCAACGCAGTTCCACAGCTCCACAGCCCAATGCTGGGGGGCTTTATACCCCTTTAGCCAACGCTGGGCATTGGGAGAACTACATGTACGGCCGCTCCAGAGCACCCCATTCTATTGACTATGGACATTCTATGTGGATTATACAAGCTGAACACCTTTGTCAGCAAAGGATGCACCTTAAAGCAGCTGCTGTAGTCACTAAGTAAGAAAGGGTGTCGGGATATTTTTGCACATATCTAGATCTATGAATTATAAAGCAACAACACAGCTTTATTTTAGCAAAACGACACTTTAACGATTTAACGTTTGTAGCTTTAAAGCCTTAGTCTTAAAGCCTGGGCTGTGCAGCATTATTTAAAATCGTCTGCACGTCATTGTTCCCGCCCTCTCACGTAAAATGACGCCACTGAGCAGGACGCCCCCTGTGGTATAAATGTGTAAAATAAATGAGCTTCTACGCCTCTTGTTTTTTATTAAAAAATAACACGTAGTTGGTTTATGTCGTATATTTAAATCCCGGAAACCTTTCCCCGTCCCTGTTTTTATTTTTCGAAAAACGGAAACTTCCAGGTGGTTGGAGCCTGAATGGCGTCCATTTCGCTCAGCTCCAGACTCGAGTGTGCTCCGAGCAGAGGAAGTGGCGGGTGAAGCAGGTCCGCACCTTTTCCGGTAACACAGCACCACGGCTGTGCGACTGAGAGAGACTCGGAGGGGGAAGAGAGGAGAGAAAGGTCTGGGGAGCGGGTGCCCGCCGCTTTTTGAAGGTAATTACCGTATTTTCGCCCGCTCTGTAGCCGGAGCCACGTCGCCGCGGCGCTGGCTCCTGCGAGATTTTCCGTTTATCGAGAAAACTAGACAACAGAGTGGCCGATTAAAGTTGTGCTCCGTCTGTCTGTCTGATACCCCTCCCTTTTCTCAACCGCTCTTGTGTTTCAGGGAGAGAAGAGAAGAGAGAGGGAGGACGGAAAACTCGAAGGAATCAATGACCTCTGGAGTTCTCTCGGGCAATTTTCTACAGCCTCCACTTCGCTGGTACGCCATTAAAGACTGTAATTGTAAGCATGAACTCTTGAGGCGAATCCCGCCGCTTGAATGTGCTGGATCGGGCGAGGGGACAGCCGGCGTACAAGGAGGAAGTCTGAACTGCTGCGGGCTGTCGAGAGGGCCTGTTTCGGCGCCGCTGTTTTAATTTGAAGTCTAAGATAGTCCACCTCTTCCTCAGCAGTTCTGCATTGAAGGCGACGGCGCTGCTCCGAGAGCTGGAAAGGACCTACCCTTGGCTAGCTGACACCAAATAAACGTAAGGTGCCCTTTTGTTGATGAGCTACCAGCACTCAGCGACAGGTTCAAGAAGAAGGCTGCTAATCCACACCCTCCCCTGAGCACATTTTAACTTCGTGGTTTGCTGTTTCAGTTTCGTCTAACTATGGCAGTCAGTTTAGCTTAGCTAAACCACTGAGGTGTTTTTTTTTATTTCTTCCATCTGATAGCACAAAAGCTTCTGCCCTGGGTCGCTGAAGAGATCTGACTGACAGAGTTGTGAAGCAATATTTCTGCATTCTGTTACAGTGTCTAAGCATTGTGGTGTTACACCCAGAAGTATTAAAGTAGCACATAATCTAGCCAAAGGTACAAAACCAAAAAAAAAAGCCTGGACTTTTTCCTTTTCTCCTTGATAACCATAATATATGCACGACCAACAAGATGGGGAAAATGCTTTCAAAGATCTTTGGCAACAAGGAGATGAGAATATTGATGCTTGGACTTGATGCAGCTGGAAAGACGACCATTCTTTACAAACTGAAACTTGGACAGTCTGTCACCACCATCCCAACTGTCGGCTTCAACGTTGAAACCGTCACCTATAAGAATGTTAAGTTTAACGTGTGGGACGTCGGTGGTCAGGATAAGATCCGACCCCTTTGGCGGCACTACTACACAGGCACTCAGGGGCTTATCTTTGTGGTGGACTGTGCTGACAGAGATCGCATAGATGAGGCTCGACAGGAGCTGCACCGCATCATCAACGACCGAGAGATGAGGGATGCGATCATCCTGATTTTTGCCAACAAGCAAGACCTGCCTGATGCAATGAAACCACACGAGATCCAAGAGAAGCTCGGCTTGACCCGGATCCGAGATAGAAATTGGTACGTTCAGCCCTCCTGTGCTACAACAGGTGACGGACTGTATGAGGGGCTGACCTGGCTCACCTCAAATTATAAATCTTAATGTACTGTTCAGTTGAACTGGTCAGTGCAAAAAGGAAAAAAAATGATGAAGCAAGGAAAATATGAAACAGAAGCATTTAACAAATAAAGTGGCTTCTCAGATCAGACAGCAAAAAGAAGTTTGATTATCATCTTTTTCTGTTGATTTTGACTCCCTGTAACAGTTTTCTTTTATATTCTGTACCAATCCTTTTGGCTGGCTCTTATGTTTGCTTTGGCACTATGATAATTCTATTACATTCAAATGACAATTACCATCTCATAATATTACATAAAGTATTGTTTTGGAGGTATTACAGAGTTGTAGATTTTTTTTTCCTGTTATTAAGAGCGATTTCTTTTTAATTCATTGGAAAGTTTTGGTTTGCTCACTGATCATCTTTCTTTTCAACCAAGGCACTATTGTTAGTAAGTTGGTATTCAGTGTGCATTTTGCATTCTTGGAAGCCAGATTTTGCCCATGAATGAAATGGAAGCCCCACGTGCCCTTTCTCATTCTCGCTGGCTCACTCGCACTCCAAGGACTCTCTCTACAGATGTGTTATCCACGTATTTGTCTTAGAAATGGCAAGATATCTGCTAACTTCTATTCAACTGCCATTGTGCTACAAGAATGCAAAAATGAAGAGAGAAATCAGCCTTTGTGAGTGAAAAGTGCTTAACCATGAAAGCAATGCATAATTCTGGGAACTCCATTCATGCTCACAAATAGTCTGAGATACTATTTTATATGAGTTTCCCCCCTCGGTCTGTTAACTTTTCCTTTATTTTGTTGGGGGGGGGGTGTATTTGGGTGTCAATATTCTTTGGTCTTTTCGTGTGAAGTGCAAGCCAGAGGTGTTTCACAAGAGATGAGTCAACGTTAAATAGAACTGTGCAGTCATACAGTGAGAGAATTACCAGTAACGTTACTGAGGGAATGAGGACAAGTACCCACTGACTAAACTGAGCATTTCTGGACTGATTTTGGACACCAGAAAGTGTTTGCTAAATCCCACTCCCTTCAGTCACCTGGATCTTTCATGGTGCTCTGGACCCTGGTCTGCAAGTACAGCACCCATCAGCTGCACAGTCATGCAATGCAGTCAGACAAAACTATTTTTGTCTTAATAAATTAACAATAAATGCTTTGTTTTATTCTTTTGACCAATTTGTTATGCTGAAGAAATAATAAAAAAAAGTATATCTAGTTCATTGATGAAATTGCAACTTCTTGAAAATTAAAGTTATGCTTTTTACTTTTCACATGGTACAGAGGTTAGTTTGTTTTTGCTTTTTTTAAGTAATGTAGTGAGCAACATAAGCATTTTTGTGAAAGGCAGGGAAACCTGTAGTATTAGGTCAGGGTTGGACTGCTTTGACTCACTTGATGTGAAGTGTTTGAGAGGTGTGGTTGCAGATTTGAAGGAGTACTGTTCAGCATAAACCCAAAAGTTTTATAACTGTCATTTTAACACCTCTTTTTAGGTTTGCTGCGAATAAAAGAATACCCATTCATTATTTTAGCCGTTATCCAGTTGAACTGTCTTTAAAGCCACAGTCATTTATATCGTTTAATGCATCAACATTCAGAGCTTAAGTTGGTCATCATGATTTGAATTCATACTGTCCAATGAAAAATGTGGAGCAGCACAAGAGGAAAACTTATCATTTACTGATCTTTATGGTGGGCAACACATTACATAAAGTTAGATGTCTTGAGGAATTTTGGATATTGTAATTAATGCTCAAATTTTTGATACTGAAACATGGTTCTATTGTATATAAAGTCAATAATCAATCAATGAATCTGTGTCAATGAATGAGTATTCTGACTTTCAATATTGCCTTGCATTAGTTTTCATACAAATCAAAACTATCAGCTCTTAATCTCATTGGTTCCTAGTTGAGGAGTAAAGAGCTAATGTCACAAAATTGTAGGTCCACATACAATATCAGTGTATCGTGCAATACCACAGTGTAGTGCTTTTGTAGAAAAGAGAAATGTTTAACATCAAGAGATGCACTGTATGGATACCTAAATATATTCTGTTACTCTAAATAGTGGCTTAGAGCAGCTTAGGAGACAGAAGAATGAAAGAACTGTAGATGACATCATTTTCTAAATGCAGGACTGCTAGAAGGAGAAATGCTCTCACAAATGCTTTCACAGAAATGGCATCATAGCTAAAAAATGAAGATATGTTTTAGCGAATACTTTTATTAAAACAGCGTGATATGACAGAAGTATGAAAATCTTTGCCTTGCAGTCTTTTTTGGATTATTTTAGCCACTCATAATCTCATAGCCAGCAGCTCTAGTTAGGGAAAGCCTACCCATATTTGCCTGACACAAAACATGTTTGTTTGTTTAGTGAATGTTACTGTGGAGTTTGACCTGGTACTGTGTTGAAACAGCTATGCTGACCAGATTGTGCTCTAGATGAAGGACATTCAGCCTTTTTTGGGTTAATAAATTCCGAAACAGATCAAATAAGCGATGATTAGTCATCCCGGGTTTGACCTTACTGTGCGTACATATATGTGAGACACCTCTGTGTCAATTGCTAATCCTTGAATTGAAGCTGGATGGAGCTTTTTGTATACAGGAGCAAAGTTAATGCAGTTCCTGCTTCAACCCAGGCCCACAGGGTGTAGCACTAACATTTGTTCACACAAATTTCTTAATTTTGATTTAGGGTTATTAGCTATAATAATGTAGTGAATAAGCGCCTGGCTAAGATCTGTAGTGAATTCCAGTTAATGCAGACTCATTGTACTCTAATTCTAGGTTATGAAATAATTACAAGTGAACTAAAATGACAGTGAAAAGATTAGTCTGTATTACAGTGGTTACTCGTGCTTCATGCCTTTGCATGTATTACAAAGAATAAGGAGTGCCCTGACTAATATAGCTAAAAGATTCTCCATCTGCTTTGCTTGCAATACAATGCCAAATTGACACAGGTCCCTGAACATTATCAGCAGGAACTGTTTCATTTTGCTTAATGAGGGAGGGTGGATATGTGTACTGTGTAGGAGATGGCTGTTCTCAAAACAATAAGGCTAAATGGGCCCTGTAAGTTCCCTGTATTGTTTATTCAGGCTTCCCTCCTAGTTTTAATCTTGCCTTCAACGTGCAAGCAGAATTACGACACAGTAGAAACGCAGGACCATAATGCTACATAAATTCTACATTAGACATTTTATAATGTAGTTAATAGCAACAATATAGATAAGCACATCTGCAAAATGTAATTGTAAATGTGAATGTAAGTGAATTATGCAAATTAGGAATCAATTATGTGTAAAAAGTGATTCTAATTTACTAGTCTCATATACAGTGACTAAGGGTGTAATGATTTCAGTACAGTGTTGAAAATAGGAAAAAGGAAACATTCAAAGCAGTGAATTGAAATATAAAACTATACCATCGGTCTTCTAAGGGTCTCTCATTTGGCACATGTCAGATTAACCACCAACATAATTAGGAACTGACACTGATGTTTTCATCCACTGACCATTTTTTTGATGGCTGGGGCCAATTTTGTGAGTCTTAGATACATTACTGACTATGATTATGAGTGCTAGCCTGACCAGTGCGTTTTAGTCTTTTGTTTAAAATGGAAAACAGTGGCAGTTGCTGTGCCAGGGCTCTGAAGGTGTTACTGTAAAACTGCTTCAAGGTAAAGTATATGTTAATATGCATGTTACAAGCTTCAACCAAAACAAGGAACATCCTTTACAGGCTTCAAATGTCCATAATTAAGCTAGAACAGTCAAAAAACATTCATGTGAATATTTTGTTAGCTTAGCAGCAACAGACTACAGAAATCCTATAGGGGAGCTCACAGAAATTAGCATTATCGTCAACATATTTTTCTTCCTCGTTTGACATCTGTTGCCCACACTGAAGGCCTAGCTCTAATAGTCGTCTTACACCCCTAACTATGACGAACACAGCAGCACCTGACAATGTTCCTCATAAAAAAAGTTTTGTTTTCATCAGATGCTAAACCTGTGTGCAAATCGGTTTGTTATAATTAGCAATGTCTGCACAGCTGCATATGTGGTGTCCATAGGGAGAGACCCATAGTGCCTGTGAATGCTGAGTCAGAAAACCAGCTTCCTGCAAATCAGGCTCAGTCATTAATGGTTAGGCCTAATTAACTCAGGATACACTGCACACATTAGTACAACAGCACTGGCTTTGGTGTACACACATTATCTCACTTTTAACACTGCAGCACTGGGAGTGATTCATGTCTGCCAGACGCAAGACTAGGCAAGGCTGACTGAGCACATTAAAGTACATCTGCTGTTCTCAGAACACAGTTTCATCTGTGAGTCTTTGAGAGTGACACTGGAAGTTACAACTCCCCACCCCTCCATAGGCTTTCGCAAATTATTTGCTAAAGAGACTATCATGCACATCTGTGTACTCTGTGTACATATGAAATTGTGGATCAATTTATAGCCAAGTAATTCTAGAGATTAATACTTCCAACCAGATTTCACATTCAATTCCAGTTGTAGATGGCTTCAAGATGAACAAATGACAGCAAATGACTCAAATGACAAATGACTCAAATGACAAATGACACTCACTATATAACAAATAAAAGGATATTTTTATGTCTGATGTTACATTTAAAAATGTTGCTTGTATGAAACAGAATGACAACTCCCTTTAAAATTCTAGCAGTGTTTGATAATTTTATTTTCAGATTAACTGAAATTAATTAACTTTCATGCATTAGGATGGTAGAAAACTCTTTTCTACACAGACTCTGGGCTCCTAAAACAGCCTGTGGTAGAAAAACATGTATTAGATGTGTATTAGTATAGCAGTTCAGCAAGTTATTTCAGGTCAGTTTCATCACTGTAAAGAGCCCATATCGTGGAAAATTGAATTTTCTTCACTTTTCTGAAATACAGCATTTATTGTAGCATGTAAACTTTGCTAAAATTGCGGCACATACAATTTACCCAAAGTTCTTACTATACCTGTATGGAAATTAATCTGCTAAAACAGCCTGCTTTGAATTTTTTGGTTCTGTGATGTCACAAAAATCAACTTATTTACTTATACATTTATCAACGCCCATTCAGCCTACAGCTGTCTAGCCACGCCCATTTACACTGAAGTTATAAGAGGTATTTCAGTCTTGACTGCTTTTTGAATGATGCTTAACATAGGACAGCAAATCAGGACAGAGCATGTTTAACTATATTAGTCTTAAAGTAACAAAACTGCTTGTTTAATTGTAAAGGATAAATGGAGGTTGGAAATGGTCATAAAAATGAACTGACCTCAGGAGGAAAAAATAAAACGGTGTATAGATTTCTTTCTAAATCAAGAATACAAATAAGGCATTTGCTACCCTTTGCTGCAGTTACAGGCTTTACACTGTAAGCCCAAATAAGTTCACATAACTTAAGAAAATTGAGGTAACCCAATGCTCTAAAAAATTACTTTAGCACTAGTGAACAAACCAGCATGTTTAAGTTCAATGGACTTAAGATACTACACACTGCATGTTAGAATAACTAAAATTTTTGTGTTAGATTAACATAAATGCACATTTGTGCAATAAATGCTATTTTAATTGAACTTTTTGAGTTAGACCTAAAATCCCAATTTAATTATAGGATTCAAGAGGTAATTAAGAAACCTTTTCTGATTAAGTGATATTGACCACTCTGCCAAACACTTAGTGTTAACCCTTAGTGTGAATTTGGTCATCCACCAGCACAGACCCGCACTCAGCAGCAAAGACAATGATAACTCACCCTCTTAGTCAACAACACAAGGTCAGGCAGCTTAGTAAAACATGTATGAAAAGTATATGCCTGAGGAAAGACAGCCTGGGTGGAATGAAAATATGTTGATGGTAAGTAAAACAAAAAGAAAGAGGCACCCAATATGCAAACAGAAAGAGCCATGAGCCAACGGGAAAGAAATGTTTCACCCAACAAGATTGTGTTAGCAAATCAAATATGTTACTGTATTTTAGTTAAACAACACAGCTTACTTAGTTTCACTCAGTTATACATATTTGTTAAGTAACTTCACCGTTCGAATGTATGAAATCATCAAAAACGTTCCCTAATGTAAAACAGTTAAGTAAAACGTGGAATATATTCAGTTTTTTGCGTAACACACTTAATTAATTTGAGTTAAAACAAATTGTGGAATTGCAGTGTACTCT